ATTCCGATCTCTTTTTTGATTTGTTTTCCAGAAATGAAAACTCTTGAAAGTTCATAATGATAAAGAAATATGGAGAAAACATAATGCTTTATCCAATACAAAATTTATGACATTTTTTTTTACATTCAAAAAACAATCGAGAAAGTCTCAACCAGTATTAAGTTACTTCTCTTAATAAATAAAATTAAAAAAGTTCATTTTTAATGTATTTTTAATAATATGATTTTCAGTTAAGTAAGTGGATGATTCTTAAGATCTTAAGAATTCTTGTTTCTATGTTTTTTTTCACCCATTTTTATTAGGTACCTTCTTGACCTTGATTTTGTTCATCATATTTTTAAACTTTTGAGATTAGCCTCTAATAGCCAAAGCAATTCACCAAAAAGATGCTTCCTTTAATAGTCAAAGCAATTCTCCTGAATTTAAATATGATTAAATATATGATTGACTATTATTCAAATTCAAGCCTTTGGTGAAGGTTTTAATTCATTAATTCAACAAAGATATGTAAAGATTTTCTCATTGCAGAAGAATGTATATTCACACACATTTTATAACTAAATGATAAACTGGTTTTCATTTTTGATTACAACTCAATTTTCAATTTATCATTGAAAACTTATAATTATTTATTTCAAAATTGAGTTGATTATTTTCATTTTTCAATACCATTCAGAAAAATTGAGTTGAATGCAAAAATGACTCGCAGTTTATATTTAATTGTTTAATTAAATTGAAAAACGATCTCCTTTTCTTTTAAAAATAAAATAAAAAATAATTATAAAACAACACTAAATACTAATCAATAAATAATTATTTAATAGTTATGTTACTGCAATAAACTATGGTCTAATTGCTTTATCTTTATGAACTTTTTTTTTCCATATTTCTTTATCATTATGAACTTCTTCTTGTTTTATTATTATTAAGCCATAAGAATCTTGGAAAACTTTGTCTAAAATGATATTATTATTAGAATCTATCAAAACAAGATGTATTTTATTTAAATCTAAGCTATTTGGTGATTGATTATCTTCAAGGTGAACTCTACATCCAGATATTGAAATATTTGTATTTTGTTCTATAAAACTACGATCTATATTTCAAAATCAAATCATTGAATTTCATTTCAAAATCAAATCATTGAATGAAATTTCAAAATTTGATTTATAAATGAAATCAGAAAATATGAATATTTTTGCAATTTATTTATTATTTTTGCTGTTATTCAATATAACCAAGTCAATCTTTTTCACCGATTTCAACTGAAATGTTGGCCAACCTTGAATCATTTCATTGATAGATAATTCAGAATGTTCAATAGAAAAATAAAATAATTTGATCGATAAGAAAGTTTATTTAAATTAGTGATTAATTCTTTTTAATGTGTTTCCAAAAGTATATATTTATCATAATCCAATTCATTTGTTTTATTTTTTAGCTTGTTCTGCTTTCTTTTATACACATTCTTTTATGAAATAGAAATAAGCAATGAAAAAGGGAGCATGAGGAAATAAATATCTCCCAAATTAAATATAGTGGCGAATGTGTATTTATTATATGCTATTTAATATTTAATATTTACTATCCAACACAGATTTCATCTTCAACTTTGCAAATTTTTTCTTGTTCAACAATTTCGTTGTTGATGATTGAAAGATCAATTACTTCGTCGTCGTCTTGGATAACAATATCATTGAATTGGATTATGACATTTGGAGCAAATCTCTCATTAACAACATCCATTTTAATGATATGATCTAAAAAATTTTATAAAATTTTATAAAATTTTAAAATTGAGAGAATTAAAAAAATTTCCATAAAATTTTCCTTTTCAAATTTTTTATCAAAATTTCATGACATTAATTTTGTGAGAAAAAATTTTATTATTGATTTTTGATGGAAATTTTATGACATTCTTTTATGGAAATCATCAGAGATGACTGAATTTGTTTCTATTTAATGAATTCATTTGTTACTTTTAAATTCAAAATTGTTTCATGAATATTGAAAAAATAATTGTTCTTTGCAAACACTTTATCATTATTGTTAATTCAAAAAACTTCATTTCAGCAATGATTACTGTTTGTGCTAAACAATTTTAAATCAATCTATCTAAAAAATCTTTAATAGCTATTAATTAAAATTCATTGATTGTTTTAAATATTTCTAAAAGTTATATTAAAATCATTGATATTACGATGACTATAGTTCTTTTTGAAAAAAGTTGCATTAGAAATAACCATTGCCAGAGAATTCTCATCTGTTTAATAATCAATTTATTAATAAATTCTCTGAAACAGATTCTGTATCCTGAAATCAATTCATTTTTATTTAATTTAAATTAATGATAGTAATATCAGATTGTTTTCTTTAAATCATATTTGAATTCATCCAATTATTCTCTTCTTATATGCTTACTAATTTTTTCTTTTAAGATATAGGGCTAGCATGAAATAATTTGGAATTTTACTTGAGAAAATAAAAATTTTTTGATTTTTCTAATCAATTTTGACAAAAATAATAAAAAAATTTCAAAAACAAAAATTTTTCCGCAGAAATTATTAGCAATTTTGATAGAAATATTTTTTTAGCGAAAACGGTTTTCAATATAACGAATTTATTATGGCATTGTTCGAAAACGGTTTTCGATATAACGAATTTAGTCCTATCTCTTGAGAAAAAAGTACAAGCAAAATGAATAAAATTGAAATCAATTTCCCTCAAATATAAAATTCTATCGATAAAAATAATTTGTAATACGGAATTTAATTATTTCTAAATATATTGTTGCAACAATTTTCTTTTTATTTTCAAGAAAATTAATATAAATTGCAGTTATAAAAAATATTATTAGATATTTAAATATAATTTTAAATTATGCAATCTTAATCTGATTTATAAAAAACTAAAAATTTAGTATATTCATTAATAATATGTTAAATTAATTATTTCAAATAAATTATTATTTATTAAATACTAATAAATCCATCTCTAAGACTAACTTCATCTTGTGGATGAAAAATTTTTTTACTTAAATGAAATTTGAATAAAAAAAATTTTTGCGTAATTGAAATTTGGAATAAAATTTTTTGCTTATTTGAAAATTGAAATAAAATTTTTTGCTTATTTGAAAATTGAAATAAAATATCAAATATATAGAAATGCTGTTGAATTCATACCTTTGACTCCTGATATAATCATAGATAAATTCATGAAAATGTCGAATTCAAATTATTATTCAGAAGAAATGATTGATTTAATATTAATAATATTAAAAAGGTTGGGAGAAATCAACAACAAGAAAATTTATTATATTTTGCATAAATTAAACATTAATTACTATTTGTTAATTCTAGAATCAAGCAATTATCAAAAGATAAATTCAATTTATCAAATATTTATGATCAGAGTCAACATTCTTCATGAAAACCCTATTTCTAATTTATTATGGACAAAAATTATCCAAAATTATCATAAATATCCAGCAAAAACAAAATCTATATCAATCAAGTGTTTGACATATTTGTTGAATCCAAAAATTAATTTATCTACTCAAATAATTTTCGATTCTCAATTATTTCAAATAATTTGTGACCATTTAAATGATTTTATTTTTGAAGATATAGTGAATCTACTTTTTATTTTACAAACTTTAATATGCTTATCTATAAATTCTCATCATGAATGTGAGCTAAGAACAAATTTATTATTATATGATATCATACCAATTCTCAAAGATATTCAATATAGTGAATTAAATGATCAATCATGTGATGCATCTATCGAAAATGTCATAAGTTTTGTCACAAAATAAATATAAAAACTCTTTAAAGGACAAGTGAAAATTATGATCATAATTATTTTTATCAAAATTAATTAAAATTTTCTTTTTCTTTTATTTTTTTATTCAATATTTTTTTTTATTTTTAAATTTTTTTTCACATGATTTAATTGTTTTTGCTCAAAATTTTTTTCAAATTAATACAGGTTAATACTTTAGACCAAAAACCGTTTTCGCAAAAAATTTTTTTTGTGAAAAATTGATCACAATTTCTGCGGTAAAATTTTATTTATGGAAAAATTAATTTTTTTTTGGAAAAAATGCACACAATAATAATTTTTTTGATCGAAGCTAATTCGGAATAGATTTTTTTATCAAATGATTTGCTAATTATTTCGTGCTAGCCCTATAGGAAAATTTTTTTTTCTAATATGGATATCACATATTTTATTTAGCAATTTATTAAAAATATTCGTTATCATTATCTTCATTTTCAATAAATTGGTGAAACTCTCTCTGTTATTCTCTATATAATTCTAGAATGTTCTTCTTTTCTATGTTATCGATTGCTGCTTTTTGGTCGCTTTCTTGTTCTGACTTTTGCTCCAGTTTTTCAAGTATTGAAATAGAAAGAGGCTTGTTTACTTCTGCCTGTTTTGGGTCTGGCTGCACTGTATCGTCCTTCTTTGGCTTTGTGGTTGGCACTGATATCATCGAGTTAAAGGCTTGAACGGCGGCATCTTGCTTCGATACTTTTTGGCGCCTTATTTTTATCAGCTTCTTTTTGTGCTTTTTGCGAGACTCGCCGGCCTTGCTGGCTGATCCGTGCTGAGGTGATTTATCGCCCTTGTATGCATCCTCGTCTTCTTGCTGCCCCAATTCATTTGCTGCTGGCTGACCGTCATTTTCCCTGCTCTCCTCTTCCTCCTGGCAGTCCTCCGCCTGCTGCATTTCTTCATCCTCTTGACAATCATTAGCTTGCTGCACGTCTTCCTCTTCTTGATGATCACCAACCTCCTGAACGTCTTCTTCCTCTTGATTATCATCTACTTGATGAGTTTCTTCTTCCTCTTGATGATCATCTGAGTTTTGTTGCTCAGAATGATTGTATTCTTTCTGGCAGTTTTCTTTCTCTGAATCTGTAGACTCTTCATATTGGCGAGCAGTGAATTTTCCTGGAACAAACAAGCTCTGCATCCTTCTGTATTGTTCTTCACGCTCTGCGGGGGGATTCGAACCGCCGAACTTGAGTTATTGAGTCTCACGCAATACCCACTATGTCACGCAGACTCTCAAAAAGTTTTCTCTTTTTTCTATAATAAAAAAAATCCTGACGATAATGTGTTTGTTCAAAAAAATTTTTCGATAATTCTATGAGTTGACTCAAAAATAAATTGATAGAAATATTTTATCGATATAGATATCTTGTTAAATAATTGATAATTCAAATAATAATTTATATATTTAAATAAAAAATTAAAACTTTATTATTATTTATGTTTAAAATTCTAAAAAATGCTAATTTTTGTAAGAAAAAAGATTTTCAAAGATATTAAAACTAACGTATATTATTTCATCAATAAATGCAAATTCATGAATACATTGATAAAATGAAAAAAATCCATCAAAATCTTCTTGAATATTTAGAAGATGGATCTAAAGAAGAAGAATATCAAAATTTATTGACACTTATCGATGAAAATCATATCCGCGATTTGAATTCTGAATTAAAAAATTTTCTTCATTTAATTGTTAGTATATCCAATGATCATTATCGAACTCCTGATTTTTTCGGTAAAATTGAGCAGCTAATTTTGCAATTTAAAGACGAAATCTCCCAAAATTTCACGAATTTTCAAATTTTCAAGATTTTTAAGAGAAACAAAAGGATTCTTCTCTTTTTAATTGAGCAAAAATTATTTGAATTCAATGAATCAATTGCCCAACTTGTTAAACAAAAAGAATCAGACAATTTCATCAAATATTTCTATCCTGAATTAAAAGATTTCATTCAAATTCAAAATAAGGAAATCGAATCATTTGAAGAAAAGCGAAAAGAAGGCGAAAATGACGACAACGAAATATTCAAATTGATTCGAAATGATTTAATTGAAGAGTTTATTATTTATATTAATAAAAATAATTTCTCTCTTTCAAAACCAATTGAACCATCAATTTTTGAAACACACACTTCTTTGCTTGATAAAAATATAACGTTTGCTAAATATGCTGCTTTCTTTGGATCATTTCAAATATTCAAGTATTTATATTTTAATCATTTCTATCAAATGAATACAAATATATGGATTTATGCAATTCATGGTCAAAATCAAGAAATTTTTCAGTTTTTGATTGATAAAAAAATTACTCCACAAGAAAGTGGTTATGAAAACTGTGTAATTGAGTCAATAAAATGTCATCATGTTGATGTTACAAATTATTTAATAAATAATTATGTTCAGTTCAACATAGAGAAAGAAGAGAAGATTGTTTCATCAATTCTTAAATATAGAAACTATTCATACTTCCCTGATCAATTGAATGACAATGTATTCTTTTATTTGTGCAAGTATTGTTACTTTAATCTTGTTGATATTATCTTGAAGAAGAAGGACATTGACGTCAATAAAATAATTGCAACGGAAACAATTATTTAAAGCAAAACATTTTTTTTTATGCAATTTTAAAAAATGATTTTAAATGAAATTTTTGGTTTAATTGTTTCAAATGACAGCTTTACATATTTCTATTTACAAAGAAAATGTTGATATTGTTAAACTTCTATTAGATCAGCCAGATATTGATGTCAATATGAAAGGATCAATTTAAAAAAATATTTTTTGTTTGTTATGTTTCTTTTTATATTTTATTTTCATAAAGTTTCAGCAAGAAATAATATTGAAATATCAATTTGACAAATAATTTTTAATTAATAAAATTATATAATTATTATTTATTAACATATCTCCTTTACAAATGGCTGTTGATGTTGGAAATGATGATATTTTCAATTTTTTGTTAGGGCATAAATTGATTCAATTTGGCGAATATACTTTTCGTTTTTGTAAAAAGCTTACAGAAATTACAATTCCATCAACAGTGACCAAAATTGGAAGCAATGCCTTCTATTCATGTTATAATTTGGAACGTGTTATAATTCCAAATTCAGTAACAATAATTGGAAGTTCTGCTTTTTATTCATGTTTCAAACTTGCAGAATTAAAAATACCTGATTCTGTTCAAAAAATCGGAGAAAAAGCATTTTTTCAATGCTCATCACTTACTGAAATTGATCTTCCATTATCATTCACGAAAGATGCACTTCCGGCAGGAATTTTTATGAAATGCAGTTCATTAAAAAAGTTTAATATTCCGAATTCGATTGAAATAATTAAGAGTGATGCTTTTAAGGGTTGTTCATCATTGACACGAATTGAAGTTCCTTCTTCAGTAACATCAATTGAAAGTGGTGCTTTTTCGGAATGTTCTTCACTTGCCGAAATAATGAATAATTCATCAATAACAATCATTAATGACAATGTTTTTGCTGATTGCTCTTCATTGAAGGAAATAACCATTCCTTCTTCAGTTGTTACAATTGGCAAATATGCATTTGAAAGTTGCACTTCACTTGAAAAGATTAACATTCCTTCATCAGTAACAGTGATTGATGAAGGTGCATTTAGCAATTGCAAGTCATTGAATGAAATAACAATTCCAGAATCAGTTGTTACAATTGGTAAAGGTGCGTTTGTTGAATGTATTTCGCTTAAAAAGATAATTATTCCTTCATCAGTAACTGTGATTAATGATCAAGCATTTGAACGATGCAGGTCATTGAAAGAAATAATAATTCCAGAGTCAGTTACACTTCTTGGCTCTTTTTTATTTAGTAGTTGTGATTCACTTACGGATGTTTCAATTCCGTCTTCTGTGACTGAAATCAAATACGGATGTTTTTCGAGATGCAAGTCAATCAAAGAATTAATAATTCCTTCTTCTGCTACCAGAATTGGTGATTATGCTTTCAAAGGATGCAAATCATTAACAAAAATATCAATCCTTTCAGAACTAAAAAAAATTAATGAAGAAGCATTTATAGAATGCAAATCATTGACAGAAATAAACCTTCCTTCTTCTCTAGTGGTAATTTGTGAAAAAGCTTTTTATAAATGTAAATCGCTTGTTGAAATTGATATTCCATCATCTGTTAATCGCATTGGAAAAAGCGCTTTTGCTGCTTGTACTTCATTAAAAAGAGTGACACTTCCATCTTCATTGAAAACAATCGAGAACGCAACATTCAAAGAGTGTTCATCTTTATTGAGCATTTCTATTCCAAGTTCTGTAACTGAAATTGGACAGTATGCTTTCAATCATTGTACAAGTCTCACACATGTTGATATTCCAAATTCAGTAAATAGAATCGCTGAATATGCATTCGGTGAATGCGAAAGTTTGACTGAAGTTGAAATTCCAAATTCGCTTAAAAAAATTTGTAATCACTCATTTAGAGAATGCAGTTCATTAAAGAAAGTGACAATTCCAGATTCTGTCAAAGAAATTGGTACATTTGCTTTCAAATTGTGTTCATCATTGAAGGAAATCGTAATTCCTAAATCAGTGAAATCAATTGGAAATGGAGCTTTTGATTATTGTCCTGCAAAAATTATAAGGAACAAATAATGGAAAACAACTTTGAGAATGAAATTTCAAATAAAAAAAATAATATTTCTACTTATATAAATGCAAACAGTTGATTATTTAAAATAAATTTTATCTTTTTTTTTTTTAATCTTTATTTTTTTTAGTATAGAAATCACATGTAGTTTTCTGTTAAGATTTCTAGACAAAAAATTGTCTACTTTCCAAATTGAATTAAAAAATCAATCAGCAAACAATTAAGATATTTTAAGAATTAACTTTTTAAATTTAAAATTTTCAAAATTTTCATTCAATTTGTATAATTTATTTTGGTTCTCTGTTTTACAACTTTTTGAGTATTTTATTAACTCAAAAAGTTGTACCTAGGGAATTAAATAATTTCCAAAATGAAACTTCTGTTTGCGATGTTTCAATTTTTCAATGTTTTTATTATTTCTTTTCAATTAAAAATTTTGAAAATTTTCCATTAATGTAATCAAAGAATAAAGGCTTTGAAAGCACTTCGCGGCGTTTTTTTAGTTTTAATTAATATAGAATTTATATTTTTTTGATATTTGATTCGACCATTTTCTGATTGATTTGAATCTTCATTAGCCTTTAAATACATCAATGCAAAATGAACAACGTTGAAGAATGAATTCTATGGGAACCACTTGATGAACAATTCAAGCAACTTAAAATGCATAATGAACACTTGTTTGCATTTTAAATTGAACAGCAGCAACAAATGAACAAATTTACTTTTCGTCTTTTAGATAGGACGAAGATTTAGTAATATTGAAATCGAATAAATATATTCTTGCTTTGGATTAATTTCATTTTTAATTTGAAATTTCAATAATATCAAAAATTATTGATATTGATATTATAATCAATTTTATTCCATTAATTCAGATCATTTGATTCGTAGATTTTCCAAGATTTTAAATGTTGAAACATATATGAATCATGATCGATGCATTAAAACTTAAATTAAAAAAAAAAAAAAAGAATAAGTAAAATGCATTATTTTATTGAATATGATTAAATTCTTTTAATATATGTCGAAGAAGGGAAAGCACTTTTATTAATTTTAATATGAGAAGGAACATCAATTGTTTTGAGAGATGTACAACCTTGGAAAGTGCATTTTCCAATTTCTCTCAGAGAAGTAGATAACTTAACTTCATTTAATGATGAACAGTTTAGAAAAGCGCTGTAACCAATCGAAGAAACAGATGAAGGAATTGTTATTTGCTTCAATGATGTACAATTGTAAAAAGCACAATATCCAATTGTTTTAACTGAAGAAGGAATATTTATTTGCTTTAAAGAAGTGCATCCATAAAAAGAACAACAACCAATTGAAGTAACAGAAGAAGGAATTGTAATTTCAGCTAATGATGTACATTCTGCAAAAACATTGTCCTTAATCGATGTCACGGAAGAGGGAATTGTAATTTCTGTTAATTTGGAGCACCTTTTAAATGAATTGTTATCAATTAAAGTCACTGAAAGAGGAATGTCAACTTTTGTTAGAGAAGAGCATCCTTCAAATGATCCTTTAAAATTGTCACTTTTTATGGTTTGAACATTAGATTCAATTTGTATCATATCAATGTTCTGATCTTGATAGAATTTCGAAT